AACAGGAACAGCAAAAACAGGGGAAACGTACACAGCATGGACCTTCATCTGTCTTTATGAATTCTCACAATTTTGTCCTGACTTGTTCAAGCAATTCCTAAACATGTGCAGCCATGTTAAATTAGACAGCCCAGGCCTTTATGGTGCAGACACGATGGTCGAGGTAGCCAAACCTGAGTATAGTCACAGAATTTAAAAACACCCCACTCACATTTGTCAAATCAAACAAGAAAGGTAGTGCATTTTTAAATTTCACGAGTCTGACATAGTTTCAGATTTATCTGGTTTCACATTTTAATTAGACAATGCTGCAAACTTTAAACTGATGTTTTAGACCCATTACTTGATGTTTGAGGTCTGATGTCCAATTCTTGGCACCTCAAACTTAATGTCATGGGAACTGTTCTAGAAATGATCTTTTGTTTGAGACGTGAATGAATGATGTCATGAAAAATGCTACATACATATGGTTTCATGCTTCGTTCTAGCATGAGATTGATCTCTTTTCTCTCTACGTTTGTCATTATAGAAACAGAGAGACGCAAAGACATCACCTCATCACGGCCGTCAGCAGTGTGACAAAGCCTCCCTATCACAAGGTGATCTAACCAGTCATCTGAGAGCTCACACTGGAGAGAAACCGTATATCATACATTTGTGACCGGTGTGGAAAAACATTTTCACGGAAGACTAAGCTAAACCATCATCAACAAATTCACACTTGTGAGAAACCATATTGTTGTGACCTCTGTGGGAAAAGTTTCACTTGGAAGAGTTCCTTCAATGAGCACCGACAAATTCATACAGGACAGAAATCATATAGCTATGACCTCTGTGGGAAAACATTTACTAAGAAGAATCCCCTAAATCGTCAACACATTAATACTAAAGAAAAATCATACAGCTGTGACGTCTGTGGAAAAACATTTTCACATAAGAGTAACTTAAACCGTCATCGCTATATCCATACAGGAGAGAAACCATACAGCTGTGACCTCTGTGGAAAATGTTTCACTTGGAAGAGTTCCTTCAATGAGCACCGACAAATTCATACAGTAGAAAAAACATACAACTGTGACCAGTGTGGAAAAACATTTAGTCAGAAGAGTCACTTGAACCGTCATCACTACATTCATACAGGAGAGAAACCATACTGCTGCGACCTATGTGGGAAAACATTTAGTCAGAAGAGTCACTTAAATGATCATCAGCAAATTCACACTGGAGAGAAACCATACTGCTGCGACCTCTGTGGGAAAACATTTACTCAGAAGAGTCACTTAAATGGTCATCGGCAAATTCACACTGGAGAGAAACCATACAACTGTGACTTGTGTGGAAAAAGTTTCACTCGGAAGAGTCACTTAAATGGTCATCGGCAAATTCACACGGGAGTTTCATAGCCATATTCGTACAGTAGAAAAACCATACAACTGTGACCTATGAGGAAAAAACTTTACTCATAAGAGATCCTTCAATGTTCATCAACAAATTCATACAAGAGAAAACCCATACAGGTGTGACCTTTGTGGGAAAACATTTACTACGAGAATTTGCCTAAACCATCATCAACATATTCATACTACAAAGAAACCATACAGCTGTGACCTCTGTGGAAAAAGTTTCACTCGGAAGAGATACTTAAATGAGCACCGACAAATTCACACAGGACAGAAACCATACAGCTGTGACCTCTGTGGAAAAAGTTTCACTCGGAAGAGTTGCTTAAATGAGCATTGACAAATTCATACAGGAGAGCTTCAGGTTGTGTTTTCACTGTAGCTGCTCCTACAATGTGGAGTGCTCTTCCACCTTAGCTTTGTTCTATCACTGATCTCTCTGTCTTTACATCCAAACTAAAGACTTGTTCATTCACGTTGGCTTTTGGTTCCTGGAAAAGCATAAGCAGTTTTGTTGGCGCTGATCACTTTATCTCTGTTTTCACTGTTTAATGTTGGGTTTTTACATTGATTGCCAGGTGTAAGTATTCATAATCACCTTTAATTGGCTAATTATATGTGACACACACACACACACACAAGGATTTTGTTTCTGGTACAGAACCGAGGCAGCCATCTGCGGCGCCAACTCACACCGATGGCTCTAACCATCGGAGGTAACTTGGGGGGTTTCAGCGTCTTGCTTAAGGACACTTCGACCTGTGGACTGCAGGCACTGTGATTTTATCCTCCAACCCTCCGGTGGAGGTGGACTGCTGAAGGACAATGGACATTCTTTTGAGGACAGTGAAGTCCAGATCTTCTCCAGAGAACATTGCTGGTTTGAGAGAGCAGTCAAGCAAGAGATCTCTACCCAAACATTCCCACCAGGACAATAGGCATTGGTCCACAGGTGAGGGTTCAAAGACAGCTAACGACGCTCACCGATACCGGGCTATAATGACTCAGTCGTTAGGGGACATTGTTGGCCATCAAAGGACTGAAACACCACCGGTGGGGATAAATATCTCTGGCTCAACATCAGTCAGGCAGAACTGATGAAGCCTCTTGGATGAGAGGTGAAACATGTTGGACCTAAAACTAAGTCCAGTTGACTTTTTTCTTTCTATGTGTTTTTCAGCTTACTATGACCTGGATGACTGAGAATCTGTACAGACTTGCTTTTGAGAGAGTGTTCCAGCACCAGGCAAAAGAAAAAAATGGAGAGAAACACTTGATGCAAATCCATCAATGTGAAAGATTTCATAATACTTGTTGGGGAAATGCTTTGTTATAACTTGGTCGAATGCTTTATTGTGACTGACTCAAGGATATGCTATATGGAATGTTGGGAAAATGCTTTCTTGTCACTTGTTCAAATGCTCAAGATGTTATACATTTACATGTGCAGGTGTTTTGGTTAAGAGCAGATGATGTACTCGTGCTTCAGCTGATCCATATAGTTCTCACTAATACCAGACCACAAGTATGCAGAAGAGTTTGTGACGGCACCCGGCTCTGTCTGGCAACATCAACACATGACAGAGACTGATTATAGACGCGTTATAATGCTATGATGCGTCT